AGAGGAAGGGTCATAGACAATCGTTACAGTGGCTTCGAGACACCAAATCTGAGAGAGATACGAGCCCTACGTTCGAGTGAACAAAGCTTTAAAACTTTGATTTTGGACCAGTGTGAATCAGCATTCTGCAGACCGGGGTGTTCACTCGAATCCTTCTGTACCCTCGCGCGTTCCTCAAGGCACCAGAGGAGGGTGGGATGAGGTCAATGCTGAGCCAAAAGGGAACTGGGTTTCTTCAGTCTACGGGGGCCAGGAGGCCATAGGTATTTCAGGGGCAGGGCTCCTAGCATTAGACCAGGGGTCTTTCGGATCAGGGTTCATTCAATAACTTTGGGGTTTTACGACAGTGCCGGGCCTAGATAGGGGTGGTTTCATAGATGATGATGCGGTGACATAATCTTGTGTTTCATGCCTTGAAGGTGGGCGTCTAAGCTGATGAGCTGGCTCCGAGTGATACAACATGTTTTTGAAATATGCTGGAATGTCAGTACTGTAGGCCAACATCCTCGGCCAGGCCGCGTGTTTTGCTCAAATTGACGTTCTAGGACTATGTAGCAGACAGCTTGGTTTCCGTTTTTTCGGTGCAGGGGCGTTCGCAAGATGCTCCGGCAATACAGCCCACAAGAGCTGGACAAGGTTGGTGCAGTGGCACCCTGCAGCTTGGGCTTGCTGCTCTTGAGCTTTGCTGTGCTTTGCTGTGTCGGGTGAGAGCGGCAGGATGGTAGCTGCGTCGGCGATTCCAGGCCTGGCCAATGCCTTTGCACAGACTTCTCATGCATCTCACGCTCTCGTCTTTCTTTCTGCATCTGGGCAAGTTGCGGAACATGTTGCCCGTCTTGCAGGGGGTCACGTGACCCGTTCCCGGACAGTCCAGAGGCCGGAAGCCCTTCACAGAGTGATTTGGGCTCGGAAACGCAGTGACTTACCAGGCTCCAGCTGCCTTCAACACGCTGAGGCTTGGAGCTTTTGCGTTGCTCACACGCGAGCTTTGCTAGGATTTCTTGCCTTTGATTGGTATTCCTTCGTGCTCCTTGTTCTCAGATGCGGCTGGCTATGCGCCGCAGTGCACCTAGTGTCTGGCAGGTCGCGGGAATTCACACCGTTCGACGATGTGGCGACTTCCTGAGCATTTGTCTGAATTTGCACACCGGTCACCGCCATTTGGACTCTTCTGACTCAGGTTTTCGACAGCACACAAGAGAGAAAGACGACATCAAAACCAAGACAGCGGAGAGAGTACCTCAGAATGTCCAGAAGCATGGTTGCAGGAAGGCTTGGGCTCCACAGAATCCATAAGTTCCAATATGTGCTTCATAGCCAAGGCATGGCGCCTCGGTCTTGCTTGTCATGCTGAGGCTTTGAGATGAAGCCAGATCTTGACAAGACCCTGGACAAGGAATCACTGTAGCAACATCCACATGTCTTCTTTGATGGGGAGAACTGCGAGAACCCTAAACCCCTAAACCCTGAACCAACCTAAATCTTAAGTGCAGGAGCAGCTTTTGCCGATGTGCGCGGTGTACTCGGACTCCAGGCATGCGCTGAGCTTTCAGAGCTTGCGAGATGATGAAATTCTGTGCATGGAATCTTTGGACAGTTGACCAATTGCTTTTGCAAAAGATGACATGTCGTTGTCCGAACCTGGGGTAAAGCTTCCTAGTGAGAGGCTTGGGATGACAGAATAAGCTGGGATCTGGTTTGAATTTGGGCCTTGCCAGGGCGAACTATGCATTCTTACCTCCTGATACGCCGGATGCCAGGAGCTCAAAAGACAAACCTTTTCATTGAGAGCTCCGCTTGCAGCAGACACTCGCAAGGCCGGCCTCGATGGCGCAATGTCCTCCAGGCCACCGCCTCATACCCGAACATCCTTCTCTGTGCCATCGCACAAAGCACGCATTCACGTTTGAGGCATCGAAGTGGCGGCAGGCAGCGACTGGCGGACAGAGAGGTGAACTGGCCGCTGTTTGTGTGAGAAGCGCAAGATCATCAAGATGTGTATGATGTGCATGAGCTGCATTGGAGTCAGTGGATCTGAGTGCAGGCCACGGAGTCTTCAGAGCGCAAAGGAGTGCCAAAGCTCAAGCACAAACGACCACCAGGTCGGCAGCAAGCTGTGCTTGCACCTCTAGTGTAGGGCCATGTTGGGAGATGTACCGGGATAGTTAGACAGATTTGCTTTCTGTTCTAGCTTGAGCGCCAGTTTTGTCCTTTAGGTCTTGGCCCATCTTCAGTTGTACTCAGGTCTGGACATCAGGGCTGATTTCGACAGAGCGTTTGACAGAGCCTCTGACAAGGCGAGCGGGAGCACGTCAAAGGGTCGAGCTGGGTGTGCAAGCTGCAAGCAAACAAAACGCCCGCAGATATCCCCTCGTCACCCGCGAGTGCAGCAGCTGCTCGACAAAGATGAAGGCGCGCATGTCTTGGTGAAAGCGTTTGCTTCACACAGCTGCAGCATGGTGTTCAACTGCTTCATCGGACCATGGTAACTCGATGTGTCGATCAATGTCCGGGTGGCCTCCATCGGGAGGATGTCTCCTACCGCTGATGTCGAAGGCCGCTAGCTGGTTTTGATGACGTTGAGCGATTCTACGGCCAACCGAGAACCCCAAACTTGCGTCCTGAGTTTTGAGAGTTTGGCTTCATGGCTTGAGGTTGTGACTTTCCAGCATACTCATTTGGGGACTTCGGCCTTTAGTCTTGTGTGTTTAAGAGACATGTTGTGTTTCCAGGAAAAGAGCTTATGATCATTTGTCTTCGGCAGAAAATGATGCGATACAATGCGACAGCGCTTCAAATTCAACTCAGGCGCCGTTCACTTCACCCCGGGGGCCTATCTCCCCAAGCTCGGGTGATGAGGGTGTGGCCTTGCCACTGCGAGCCCAGTCCACATCCTCGCTGTCTTCCGGGGAGTCCGTGATACATGCCGCCACCTGCCCAGCGGAGGAGTGACGATTGCCGGCAGTTGCTTTGCAGAGTGCAACCTTACTGGCGACAGATGGCCTTCCCTTCAGGAGCCGCAAAACATGAAGTGGCACTCCGAACACCTCCCGGCCGTGCCAATCCTCTCTATCCAGCGTCTCGAGCTCCGACAGGAGAGTACTGACTTGCGCGCACAATTCAAGGGTCACCAGTCAACATGCGGCTTCTACACCGGACAGGACAGCCGAGCCTCTGCAAACGAGGCACCTGCGTCAGCCAGGAGGCCTTCAGCTTCAGGAATTTGAGGGATGCCAGGCCTCAACAGGAGTTTGAAGCTTTTGCTTATCACATTTTTCTGAACAGGCAGACGAGCAAGACAGACGCGTTACATTATCCGCGACCTCCAAAGGAGTCGTGGCGAAGCTGCTTGAATGCCAAGGGCACTGTCCATGAATTCGTTTCAACATGCTCACGCCATTGACCACCAGGTTCGGTGCAGAACGCACTCTCGCGACGTCGAAACTCCGACATCTCTTCAATGGCACCTTGGCCGGCAGATGGGGACAACATTCACGCAGTTCTACCATCTACATTCCCACTCGCCGCGTAGGTAATCTTGCGCGGAAGCAAGCGTTGCTGAATGTTTGGTCAAGCTAACTTGATATTACTTGAGGGTTGCGCTCTGCTGAAGTGATCACGGGATGCTGACATGCCATAAGCCTGGCAGATACCAGCGCCCTTGAAACTGTTGGCGACATCTGGCAACTTGCCAGGGCTAGCGGCCAGCTCTGGTAACTCTGCCAGCTGCAGAGTCACATGGTTGTTTGCTGGAGCCGAGGTCAGTCGGCCAGATCCGCCGCAAATGCGGCGCAGTTCTTTTTTGGGACTTTAGCGTGGCCACTGCCTGTGGCATCTTGAAGCTTTGCTCGGCTGCCAGCGGTATTTCCCATACAGGGGACAGATGGCAAAGTTCTTGCAGGGACGACGCCGAAAGGCGAGACATTTAGAATCATTTGCAGACTGCATATGCCTGCAGTGCCTGCAGCTCAACTGGGCAAGCCGCCGTGCAACGGACCATCTCGGTTCTATGCACCATCAAGTGCTGCGGCCAAAGAAGCTCATTTTCATTCCGATGGCCTTAGGTGGCCCAGATCTCTCTTGACGAGCCGAGCCCTGGTGGCCCAGTTCAGGATTTCGTCCCAGCGCGCGTGGATGAAGCGATTCCAACGCACAGGCCCCACTATCTGCAGATTCTCGGAGTTGTGTCAATAGTAAATAGATGTAAACTGCTTGAGCTGGGAACTTCCGACCTGGGTCCCATCAGCCTTTCCCTGGCATTGCAGTGGCCTGGCACCGCACTGGCCCTGTGGCCGTGTTTGCCTGCTCTGCCTTTTAGGAGCCAGCACAGTCCCAGGCTATCGTTTCAAGCGATTAGTCCAGCAAGAGACCAGATGAGATGAAGCCAAAACATTGCCACAATGTACAGTCTTTTGGTATAGTTGCTGGAGCGATTCAGGTGCTTGTCTCACTGGGTGGAGATGATCATTCTATCTGCCAGTGGTCTTTGGTGAAGCCACGCGCTGAACCTAGCCACGACAGAGTCAGCACTGCCTTCTTCTGTGAAAGGCCACGCTGCAACTGGCAGCAAGTGAAAGTCAAAGATTGAGGTACAACCGCAATTGCGCAGCCCTCCCTGCATCCGTCCAAGCCTCAATGTCAACACAGGCCATGTTGAACTTTTTCAGGATATGCGCTACTGAGGTGGACGCGGCTAGAAGGAGCCGATGCGCCGGGAACTTCGCAGCACTGCTCCGTCCTTCCTTTGAAGAGCCATATGCGCCTAGGCCACAGGATCGCTTCGCCTTCCTTGGCAGGTTGCATTCCCTGAAGCTTGACACCTTGCACTTTCTGTGACCTGCTGCCTTGAACAAGGTCTACTGCGCACGATGCCTCGAAGAAGGAGGATGTTCCGAGCGCACGACGCCCTGGCTCGGCGCCACCACGCCGGCCGGAAGCTGAGATTCCCCTATTTAAAAACTAGTCATATGCAGACGATATGCTTTGGTTTGCCAGCTGCAGCTTCTTACTCTCAGATGTCACAGAAGTGACAAGGCCGGTTGCAACTCCGCAAGCCGCAGAGCAGACCCTGCCTAACCCTAAATCTTCAGGCGCTGGCCTCATCTGAGATGCTTTGAGTTGTGTGTTTTGAGTGTTGATCACCAGAGCAATGTGTGAAGGCTACTACCGCAACCAGCCAAGAGCTCAGAGCTGCGCCAGGGCTCCAGGACTTGTTGTAAACAAAATTTACATCAGTTGAACCCCCATACCCACAAGGATGGCGAGTCTGTTGGTGGTGTTTTCTGATTGTTGTTCTGTGAAAATCTGGGGAAGGTAGTCTCACGTGCGGAGCTTTCCTCGCAAGTTTCGTCTTAGGAGCCGCGGAGTGGGCGCAGCACTGCAGTGGTCATAGATGCCACATGAGAGGCTGGTGATCAGCTCCTCTAGGCTGTAGGAAAGTTCGGCTCTTCAAAGAGATGGCCAGTCGGACAAAGGGCTGACAAGAATTTGCTCCTGCATGTTGCTTGCATGCAAATCAAGAGAGCGTGGCAGTAGCACAGCCCAGTTGCATCAGACACAGCCCAGAAGATTGTACAGCTGCGGCTGCTGAGTGCTTTGCGTGTGGGTGCCTGCCGCTGCTAAAAATGAGGATAGCTGCTTTCAATTGCCTCGCCTCTTGAACAAGAGTTACACATCCTCAGGGCAAAAACCTTGCAAGCTCCTTGATTCGTGGCTGCCAGGTCTGCAGTGGACAAGATGTGAAGATTTGCCTTCACTCCTCTGGCCGACTTTGCATGATTGCTTCTTGCCATGGTGGCATACAAGGTGTAGACCAGGTGCTCGCAAACGATGTGATCTGCCGCTGTTGCTGAGCCTATAGGTTAGCATCTTATCAGAACTTTCGCGCATGCATTTCCTCCTTGCTAGGATGGCGCCGGTCCTAAATCCTGGAGGATTCTCGAGTGAGGCGAAGGGGACTGCGAAACAGCTTTCATGTTCGTACAGCTCTCTTGAATCCACCTTTGGCAATGCAGGCGTTATCTTATGCAACGGCGCTACACAAGGCGAGCTTGAAACTTTGGCGCTCTTTGTGTATGTGCTGACAGTGTTAGTGGGAATGGCATTATGCTTGCCCTTCCTAGTAGCTTCCATTTTCTTTTCCATTCCCCGACATGTTCCCTATGTAATCCCTCGATGAGCTATAGTGCAAACTTCTAGTATCCACATTTTCCCCCTTAACAACCCCCATTATAATACTCCCCGGCTATATAATCCGTTATATAACCAACCCTCTTAAAGCGGTTTAGACTATAGCTCATGTGACCCTGGCCCTAGTTTCCGTTTGTGTTGGAGGTCTACTCGAGCAGCCAGACAAGTCTGGGCCCTAGCAGGATGAAACCAAGAACGCAGAAAGGTGTAGCCGAAGGTGCTCAAAAAAGAGTATTAAAAGTTATAGCCATAAGAATACCGAGAAGAATAATATTGATTCATGATAATACTAGCAGTTTTGCAGAGGGATCCATGGAGGCTTCAGGGGCGTCAGGGGGGACACTAAAGCAATGTCTCGAAAGTCCGACAGCCCAACCCATGACTGAACCCATACCTGAGCTCCAAATGCTCCAACATGATCCACCGCAAAAGGACTAGAAACCACGGCTTGGACCGTGCCAAGCCAAAAAGAGGTGAGTAGTGTTTTATTTGGGGATGCTATAGTACCAATACAGAGTAAGACTATATCCTCCTGATGGGGTATAGCGGTATAGTACAGTTTTTTTGTAAAAGGGAAAATAATCTTACTAGGCTCAGCCACCAAAAAACGCTACTCAGGTGGAGTCTTTGGCTTGCGGCAGTTTGCCGAGCAGGCCAGTGCGGTTCTTACTGTCTCAGGGGTATTGCCACAATGCCGATTCTTTGCAGCATCCGTTCCCCATTCCTTTCCCGAGGCTCTTCTTTTGTTGAAGGTCTTCCGCTTGGCCTCTTGTCAAAAAGTCGCATGTCTAGTCGAGTAGGAGTTGAGAAATAGTGGGGGAAGGCGGCTGAACCTGGTGAAGACCAAACTATGATACAGTTGAGGATGTGCTGATGTTGCAATGAAGCTCAACGTGTCAGTGACTTGCTGAACGCTGTTAAGCAAGACCCCCTTCTGGTATGAGTCTAAGAGGATGAGCATGGAAGCTAAGTGACACTGATCTGCAAGGATTGCGAGAGGAGCTGCAGAAAATGCTTCAAAAAGGTCGCTGGATTCTGCCTCAGATGCCTGCTTACATCAACAGCAAGACCAGATGGCAAGAACACTCCAGACTTGGAAGTCATGTTGCGCAGTAGCAGCTGGCGATGAGGAGGGGCCGCTGGGACATGGTGGTTTGTCACGCGACGTCCTGGCCTCATGTTGCCGTTCATCCTATGCATTGGACGGTGCCGCCCATGCGGAGGCCAGATGTGTGGCATAGAGATGGTGCATTTGGTTGGGGCAAGGTGCGATTCCTGCATGTAGCAGAAACCTATAGATTCTGGAAAGCTGCTATACAGTATTAGTAATAGATGTGCCAGTGTTTGGTTTAGTATATGGCAAGCTTGTGGCAACAGCCGGTCAGGTCGAGCCATGCCCTCCTGCTGGGACAGCTTTGAGCCAGGCACCTTGACACCAAGATCACACAGCTGCGCCCGGTGGCACCACAGCAAACCTTTGTAGTGAGGCATTGGACGAGCCATGTACGAGTCCGACCGCTTGCCAGAGTCTTGGGTTTCACGGATCAATGCCATGGACGAGGCCCGAGTTGCCCGTAAGATCACGAAAGTTATGTGAGGGTGTTTGCATGCTTTTGTATGCTCTGCAACTGGGTAGGGCGATCTGCATGATGAGGTGTGGGTGCCGTCGAGATTTGCTGTGACGCAGTTCATCAACAGCGGCATCCACCCGGGCAAGATTGTTGTGGTGCCAGAGGCAGGCCCTCAACTCCTCACATGTTGGGCTGCAAGGGGGATCGGCGATGCTTTGTCTTTCTGAAGCTGTTGAGAGGCCGTAGACACTGAGCTTTTCGATCCATCTGTGCACGAGCCTTTGGAGGTCGACCTGGGAAGCTTTCTGCCGGCAGTATGGCTGACCATGATGCAAGCTTTCTGCTACGGAAGCCACAATGTGAGTCCATCTCTGAGGCAGCTCTCTCTTTCGCTTCCTCTCAGTGTTCAAGTGGGAGACCTGGGCGCATTTTGTTGGTGGCGTTGGGGTTCGAAATCTCTGTGGGTACCTAGTCCTCACCCATGATGTTGCTGACTCAGACTCTGACACCAATACAAGCTGAGCTATCAGACTTTGACACCTCTAAAAGACTGAGCTAAGGAGAAGCGCAAAGGTTGGGATATTCTGCTGCGAGCATACTTCCAGGAGTTCACAGCCGCCGATGACGTTGTCCTGATAATCAAGACGCAGTCCTTCCACAGCGGCGATAACTTCGAAAGCAAGGTCAAGCAGGAGATTCAAAAAGCACAGGAGCTTTCTCAAGGAAAGCCTCCAAGGTTAAAGTTACTTGCAAAGGATCTGAAGCTCAAGGAGTTGCCAGGTTTGTATCGCAGCGCGGATGCCTTTGTCCTGCCCAGCAGGGGCGAAGGTTGGGGAAGGCCACACGTGGAGGCGATGTCCATGGGCCTACCTGTGATCGCCACCAACTGGAGTGGCTCCACGGAATTTCTCGCAGATGGCGTGTCCTTGCCGCTGCGGATTGAGGGCCTGGAGCCAGTGGAGGAGGGTGTGAAGGGCCACCAATGGGCAGTGCCATCGGAAACCCACCTTAGAGAGCTGATGCGATGGCTCCTGGATCACCGGGCCCAGGCCGTTGCGCTGGGGGAGGCAGGGTTGGTGAGGTCAAGTCTCAACATGTTTCTCTAAGCATACGCGCTGAAATGCATTGCATATGGAACGCCAAGGCGGCGCGCAGGCACATGCTGGACAACTTCAGCCCAGATGCAGTGATCGAGAAGCACGTGGTGCCATTGCTGCGGCGCAAGACAGGAGGATTGGGAGTTTCTAATCGCACTGCAGAAAGAATCGCCTTTCTGCACATGCACTGTCAACGATGACATGTGCATCATGTGACACTATCAGGAACTCGTGCTTCTTCCTCTGAGCTCTGACTGCTCGCCAGATGACTCTGTCTACGTTGCATTCCTCATGACGGGCTCCGCGCCACTGGCATGCGGCGCACGGCCAGCTAAACGATTGCTACGTCTGTCCAGCGGCATGCTGCCCTGCGGAACATGCTCACGCTGCAAACATCACTGAAGGAGCCTGTGAAGAATCCTGCAACCTCAAGTGCAACTGCCCCACACATGCGCTGTACGATAGCAGCAGACTGGTGATCTTCACGGAAAAGATCGCCTCACGAATAGCAGACAAGCATGTTGAATCCCGCAAATGGAAAGCTAATGCTAAGGGCCGATGTAGTCGTATTTTCAAGGCGGCAAAAAGATAAGGCAGTGCAGTACACGAATGCTACCACAATGTTTGACGGTGCATCGTCAGTGTGCTTGCGTTGTTGGGCTCAAGTGCTGACAACACTCGGCATTACACTCTGCGAGCGAAGTTTGTGCCCAAGTTGGCACAGTGTGGGACATGTCCAAGGCTGTTCCTTGCATGTTCCTCAGGTCAGATCATCGCGACACCGAACCTCAGAATCCATGCTCAGGAGTGCTTCGTTGATCACGTGAAGCCATTGGGCGATTAAGATGGGAGTTGTTCAAAGCATTCTTATGGAATCCCGAATCGGGACTTCCCATAACCAGAACCCTACCCATCCCCAGCATCCCTAGGTGGTGCCAGACTGCTTAAGAGCGGAGGTCAAAACTGTTCTAATTCAGACAAGACCGTGACTTTCATGAACAAGCTCTGGCGTAAGCAACGTGTTGTGTGTTGTATCGCAAGCAATCCTGTGGCAACGTTGTTGCCGTAAGCGTCGTAAGCTGTTGCTTTTGTTGTTGTTTCAAGCGAACCTGTCCTTGCAGTTGCAGCAGCCACAGCAAGCCGGCGTAAGCAGCGTAAGCCTAAACAACAGCAAAGTCGTAAGTAAATAAAAAGCTGGGCAAATGTAAGCTACCGTAAGCATTTCTGTTTCCGAAATAAGCTAGGAGTAACGTTTCGGGCATCGCTCATCGCTCTCTGAGATTGCACATGTTACATCATGTTACAATGTTGCATCTGACTTGCAGCTGAGAGCTACTTTGGACGTAGCATCTTGCTTCCCAACTCTTGTTCCTCCGTGAACCCTGCTTCGAAGCTGCTGTCTTCCCCACATGCCCCGCCTCCATCTTGTCCCGTCATAAGGACGCCTGCGAAGATTTGAACGTTGACTAAGATGCAGGACATCCTCAAAGAATTCTTTCAAAGCAGAAAGCCCGAATTAACAGACGGGGGTAACACCTTTGTCGAACCAGTGGCCTAGACATGAGTTCTCCGATCCATCATCATTCCAGCGATTTCCTGAAGGAGCCATTTCACGCGATGTAGCCCTCCACTGAATCGTGATGCATGTGATGCATCGTGGCAATGCACAAAATACTTCACAATCACGTGTCATAAACATAAAACCAATAAGGGGCACAGGACGACACAGGAGCTTTCACTGGTCTCATATTGGCTGCATGGACACCATCTGGCGGCATCAAGATTGGCATTTTCCTCGCGATGACCTGCCACCAACGGCCGCAGTGGAACTGGGGCCTTCGTCAAACTTGCCGTTGCGGTGGTCATTGTATCATTGTCGTCATACTTATCGTCGCTCCTGCGGCCTCTGCCATCGTCGACGGGGTCGTCGTTTTAGTCGTCGTCATCATCATCATCATCATCACCACCACCACCATCATCATCATCAGCGTCGTCATCGTCATGGAAACACACGCAGATGCAATCTCGAACGTGCCAGCTTGACACTTCCCACCCTTGTAGCAGAGTCTGATTTTGCCCGTCCTTGTCAGCATTCCCTAGCCTGGCTACTGTTGCAAGGATACTTGCGGGCTTCCTTCTGGTGTGCGGCTTGGCGGCGAAGGACTCCTTCGAGCCCTGACATGCTTGCGTGATCTCGCGTGTATGACCGCATTAAAGACAGATGCAGGATGTCTTGGAAGCGTCAGCAAATATGCCACAGGCGCAGCTTCAAGGTTCAGACAGAAGTTAAGTTGAAGTGGGAAAAAGAAAGCCTGTCATTCAGGCAGCACGCGGAGAAGAGGAAGTGGAGGCTGCTGAAATCGCCGAGGCACTTCACGGGTGCTGTGCATGGCATTCGCTACTGTAAGCTGTAGCCTACAAGTCTGAGGCAGACTTGCTGCGGACAGAGCTGTCCACGCCCCAGGGTTTCTGAGTTACTTCGCAGGAAGACTGCAGAAACGTCCATTGTTCGTCAGGCTACAAATGAAAGTCTCGAGCGCAGGGACTTTCGATGACGTGGAGGAGACATCTCTCATTCAGGCCGATGCCAAGGTGCGGCAATCAGTGGATTTCTCTTCAGCTAGGCTGCTGCTTTTCACAACGGGCGCTACGGCAGGCCTCAGTTGTCATTGACGACATGGCCGAGTTCCCTACCATGTTTGCACGTGCCTTACGCTTTCAAAGCTGGATGCAAAGACCCGTCACTCTCAGAATCAGCATCCCCTGCTTTGAGTTGCAATTGCAGGTCCAGACTGATATGGAGGCGCATGCGGTTACTTCAGGGCTTGGGTAAATGCTGTGGCAACGACTGTCTCATCCCTTGTGAGTCGGTCATGTGGCCATGTGTGTTTGGTAGAGGGTTCGCTTGTGACTTCTCCCGGGGTTCGCTTGTGACTTCTCAAGTTGGTTCGCTTGTGACTTCTTGTTTTTTGTCGTCGCGAAATGCAGAACTGTCGTG